TTGTACATGGAGATCATATCCCCCCTTAATCTCCTCACCTCCAATGTGAACATGTTTAAATTTAGTAGCCTTGTCTCGTAGCTCTGGTCCTCCATACCCCTAATTAGTTTGGTTGCCCTCCGCTGGACTTTTTCCAACTCAAGGACATCTTTTCTTAGTACTGGTGACCAGAACTGGACCGCGTACTCCAGATGAGGTCGAACCAATGATCTATAAAGTGGCAAAATTATAGACTTGTCCCTGCAATACATCCCCTTTTTAATACAGGACAAGACCCTGCTAGCTTTGTTTACAGCAGCCTGGCACTGCAAACTACCTTTCAGTTTGTGGTCTACAATGACCCCCAAATCCTTCTCCATTTCTGACTTCCCCAGCGGCATACCCATAATTGTATAACCCATTTGTTTATTTTTAATTCCAAAGTGCATTACTACCTGTGGACAATTTTGAGAACCATAGTTTTTCACCATCGCACGGCCGCACACAATTGTTATGCGTGACATGTTTGGTATCTATTTACTCAACGTGACCCCCATCTTTTATCTTTTACCAAAAAAGTGGGTATCAAATTGGGTTTGTATGCACTAAAATTCAATTCAAGGTTTTTTTCCTAAAAATATTGATTTGATAAACATTTGCACAAATATCGTACAACATAAAAAGAAAAAAAAGGCAGCTATCTTTTTTTTTTTTATTCTAAAGGGCCTTTTCTTTTAGAAAATATTTAGCTTTGGGTGCAAATATAAAAATAAAACTGCTCAGGTACTAAGGTGGTTAAATGAAAAATAAAAGAATGAACACGCATAGCAGAGATGAACAAAAACATGAACCCTCAATTTCTAAGTGCCAGGGCCATGGCTTGACAGATAGGTGAATGTGCATGTCTGGAGAAGAAAGGCTCACGTGAGGGTATGGGCTCTTGTTTTGGAACAATCGGTTAATTCTTTGTAAAGCTTAGAGAAACATCGACACGAGATGATTCTTTAATAAATTGTCTGAACTTTCTCTGCCTATCCCCAAATTTCTTACTAAGTCATGTTATGATAACCTGCAAATTAGTAAGTAATGTTGAATTAAGAAGAGTCATGACATAGAATTGGCATAGAAATAAGGAGATCATTTCCCGGCATTTTCAGACTGTTAGACTGTTAGAATATGGCTCCAAGGCCCAGTCACACCATCAAAAATGCGTTCCAGGGTGTTCGGCCTCTGGAACGCAATCCAGCCAGCTCACTTTGTTTTGGGGCGTGGCGGTGCATTGAATTCAATGGCACCACATTAGTGCCTGCGTTCTGGTCCAGTGCGATCTGCAAAAACATAGTGTTTGCAGCATTTTTTGCAGATCGCACTGCACCAGAAGGCTGGGGGCGTGGCTGCGGTGCCATTGAGTTCAATGCACCACCACGCCCCCTCCCGCCCTAAAACAAAGTGAGGCAGCTGGGTTGCGTTCCTGTGCTTTCCCGAGGCCAAACGCACTCTTGATGGTGTGACAGGGCCCTCAATCAGATAATTAAATAATTCTATTTTATGAATGAAGCTTTTCTGAATTACTGGGTTTTAGGTGAATGTGTGAAAATTTCCCAAGAGGACATGTACTTCTTCTTTCCCTTGGCTAAGTGAAATGGGGTTCAAGAAGAATATTAAGCCTTTCAGAGTGGAACCTATTATATATAGATATTCTAAAAAAGGCTTCAACCTGGCACTAGGCGGTAAAAACAAAAGGGGCGCCTTTCCTGGTGCAGGTCAAATTTATTCCAATGTGCAAGTTAACGTCACTTGCACACTGGAACCCTTCAGTGGATGTCCATCTGCTCGCCAGTAAACCTTTCATGGCTGTTTTTTACCTATGTTTGTGAGTACCTTTCTCCTTTTACTTAAACATTGGAATAAATTTGACCTGCACCAGGAAAGGCGCCCCTTTTGTTTTTACCTCCTAGATCTCACAGCATTCCCAGCTTCTTTGGGGCAGCATCCAGCAGTATGCTAGGATTTCCAACTGATGAGTGATTGTTTGCGGCGCTTCACTGCTTTTACATTGTTCAACCTGGCACTGTTTGAGAAGCTCCTTGGTATATTAACACATATGTAAGT